ACTCTGAGTCAGTTTAACTTGAGAGTCAGTACAGTGGAAACTGTATCATGCACTGAGCCCAATAAAAAAAAACTGCCTGTGCTTGTAACCTTGGTTTGAATTTTTACAATACCAAATGCTGTAGAATACCACACCTCAGTTTGCCAATGAGTACACTGACATAGATACTTATTAGCCACTTGTTCTCAACCCTGTACATTTTTAAGTGGATAGTTATGTGATGTTAAGTATTTGCAGTGTCATGAAACCATTACTGCCATCCAGCTCAGCTGTGCCCTTTCCTGCTGTCACACTGCCTTGCCTCCCTTTGTTCTTCACAGTACTTTTAACCATGTGAAATCAGATTGAAAACTTTGAGCAAAACTACAGGAATCTGGAAGTTGAAACTTTAAGGCTGGGTTGAGAATTGAGTCAGTGGTTTCCCATTTTGTATCACTGAAGCCAGCTTTATTTCATGTAGAATTTCTTGTTGAACAGTAACTTACAACAGTTTAGCATGTTTTGAACAGTAGTACATGCTACTGTAAATGCTCGTTTCCACTGAATTGCAGATGTTTGGTCTATCCCTGCTGTTGCTGAGCCCATTGAGGCAGTACTCTAAATGGCCCCAGTGCTAGGGGCTCTCTGCAGTTGTGAACCTGCCTGTCAGAGCATAGTGATTGAAGTCCATTTTCTGCCTGTACTTAGGAATGAATTTGCCCAGTCATCCTCCATTTCTGCTTTCAGCCAGGATTCTACTTTGCTACTTTCAGTTTCACTTTGGACTTTAAACTTTTTTTAAAAATCTTTTTCTCACTGAATTGTCTGTATCATACAAGCTCAAATAAACAGCTTTATTGGTTTGACTGTGGGATGAGTTGAGACGTGTGAAAAGATTTGAGGAGAGGGACGGATCTTTCTGGGTAGGCTGCTTGACTTGTTCACTTGTTAGTTTCTACTCAGTGGTCTTGAAGTCACAATTTGCTTCAGTGAAATATGACACAGGCTGGGGATGAGAATTGGCAATAGTCCAGAGTGTACACATAATTTCTTCCCTCCCAAACATACTTTATAGCCAAATGAACAGAAAAGAATAAAGCAGTCTACTTGCTGGAAACATGTAGCAGACAAATAATCTTTACAAAGTTTTCAGAATAACAAAATGCATAATAGGTTATTTTTCTCTCTTCCATTTAACTGCTGACACCTAATTATAAGACTGAAACCAGGTATGTTCCTAAGCCTGTTGGTGGGAGGTAGGAGCTGGACTTCTCCAGTTTTAACCTACGCATATTCTTCACTTTAGATTAGTCAGCAAAATAAAGGAAGGTGCTGAAAAGCCTTCTTAAAAAAAAAATTATATATATTTTACATTTTCTCCCCTACAATGTTTGTTTTCTTTTCTCAGGTATAGTTCCCATAGAATTTCTACTAATTCACCTGTGCACCATCACTATAGTTCCTTGTGCTCTTCCTGTCCTCATTTTGATGTGCCCCTCCCCTATAGAATGTCTCTAATTTATAGTTGTCTGTTTTGTTCTGTTGTTTTTTTATATTGTTATTTTTTCCCCGATTCCTTATTTGGTTCCCCTATACCCTGCCTATAAGTGAAAGCTTCCAATACTTTTCTTTTCCTTCTGACTTATTTCATTGAACATAATCCCTTCTAGCCTCATCCATATTGCTACAAATGGCATTCATTTATCTTTTTTGATTGTTGAATAGTATTCCAATGTGTGTGCCTGTGTGCACATGTGTGTGATCTTGATCTGATTTTGGGCATTTGGGTTGTTTCCAAGCCTTACCTATTATTAATAGTGCTTTAATAAATATAGGGGTGTAGGTATCCTTTTGAATTAATGTTCTTGTATCATTTGGGTAGATCCCTAGGAGTGTAATTGCTGGGACATATGGTAGCTACATTGTTAGTAGTCTGAGGAACCTCTATACATCTTGGAAAACTTTTGTATTGAATGATCAGTCATACAGGCAGTCTGGCCCTTGTTCCAAATCTGCTTCATATAAGTTTTAACTAGCATACACAAATAGTCAGGGAGTTTGGTTATAGTGTAATTCCAGTCATTACTGACTTATATAGCAAGCCACCATTGCAAGAGGCTTGATCTGAGGTAACTGTTTAAATATAACCTTATTTCTGGTAGCTGCAAACACCTGGAGAAGTATGCAGCCCCAGAGCAAAAAAGTATTTGCTGTTAATAGTATATCTGTTGCACAGTTGTATATTGCCAAGCCTGTTTCATGCTGTGGTTATGCGTCATTAAAAACAACCCACTGGATCCTTTAGCTTAAGCTTGGATTCTGTTTAGAAAAATGCAGTTTGTGGTGTTGTCTGCTGTGGGGACTATGGATGATGTCACTAGTTTGAGTAAGACCATAAGCAAAGTAGTTAATGTAATTACCAACAATTTCTTGGTCTCTAGTGAACACAGCCTACTTAAACCCCTTAAGTGGCATTAGTTTCTGGCACTGGAGTATCAAGCTGTCCATCATTTTCAGCTGCACTCTCTAGTTTATGTACTGGATAGTTTCTTTTGACATAGGGTGTTCAAGGCTAATTAAAAAGAATACCTACATTCACAAACTGATGTTTGAAAAAAAAAAAGACTCTTAAACATGGAAAGATGCTTAATTTTTTTGTAAAAAGAGAAAATCATATTTAAGACCTCAGCAAAATCATCAGACTGAGAAAAATCTGAAACATTAGAGAAACACTATAAATGAACAGGAAGGGAAATAGACATTCTTGTACATTCTTGGTGGTAGCATTCATTCAATGCCCAACTTTTATTGAAGGAAGCTAAGACCCAGCAGTATCACTACTAGATTGATTAGCCCTCCGGTGTGTGTACTTATGTTTATTTGTGGAAGAATTAAAGATTGGAAGCAAATGCAAAAGTGCCCTGGTTAAAAAAAGAAAAAAGTAGACTACATAAATGGTGGCACATCTGTACAATGGCTACAACTGTAAAAAGAAGGTACTCACTGTGCCTGACATAGAAATATCTAAAAAGACACTTCTCCAAAGAGGAAATGCAGATGGCCAACAGGCACATGAAAAAATATTCAACTCACTTATAATCAGGGAAATGCAAATCAAAACCGCAGTGAGATATCACCTCACACTAGTAATGGCCCATGTTGAAAAAACTACCAAAGGGCCCTCCCTGGTGGCGCAATGGGTTAGGACACAGCACTGCAAGCTGGCCACAGCGGCTTCAGTGCTAGTTCCATCCCCGGCCCTGGAGGTGACCACATGGTGTGGCAGACCTCTCCTGACCCGCCCGCTGCTTCCTTCAGCAATGTATTTCCAACTGCCTGTGCCCCACTCTGTCTCTGGTGAAGCCTCTCATCATCCCTGCACCTCTGGTTTGTACCCCAATATTGTATGAATGAATAAATCTAAAAAACAAACAAACAAACAAACAAAAAACTACCAACAAATGCTGGAGAGGATGTGGAGAAAAAGAAACCCTTTTACATTCTGGTGGGAATGCAAACTGGCTCACCCACTATGGAAAGTTCTGTGGTGGACTCTCAAATTACTAAAAATAGATCTACCATATGACAGTAATTCTACTCCTAGCACTCTACCAAAGGACACAAAAACATTAATTCATAAGGAAATTTGCACCCCACTGTTTGCTGCAGTACTGTTTACAGTAGCTAAGGGAACAGCCTAAATGTCCAGAAACAGATGACTGGGTGAAGAAGATGTGGTATATAGACACCAGGGAATATTGCTCAGCAGTCAAAAAAGAAACTCATGCCATTTGCAGAAACATGGATGGAGCTAAAAGGGATTATGGTCAATGAAATAAGTTAGGAGGAAAAAGAAAAATAACAGATGGTTTCATAAGTATATAGGGAAACCACAGGGGTGGGGAAAGAAAAAACAATAACAAAATGTCAGAGAAACTATAAATTAGAGGCATACATCAGGGGAGGGAGAAGAATCAGAATGTGGGAGGAAAGAGCACAAGAAACTGGTGAGTGTTCATTGGTAACTTGGTGGTGGGAATTTTATGGAGATTACACTGAGAAGGAAAATCAAACATTACACAAAAAATGAACAATGATGTAAATATATATATGTTTTTAAATAAATATATTTAAAAAATAAAGAAGTATCTTCATGATATTACTGTTTTTTAAGTTGTTTGTCAGTCATTTATATGTCTGTATAATTCAGGTGTTATGTTTTTACTCTGTATATGCACATGCTTTATTCAGCCATAATTTTTATTTAAATGTCATCCTTTTATACATGGGAGTAAAGCATTGTGTATAGCATGCTACTTATGTAAGAAAGGGAAAATTAAGACTGTGCCATTTGCTTGTATGTTTCAAAGTTCTGGAAGGATACTTAAAGGAATAATATGAGTGATATCTCTGTGTATATATTTTGAAAAAGGAGATAAAATGGATACTTTTACTTTTCTAAAATGTTTTTGAACCATGTACATGTATTACTTTCTCAAAAACTTAGAATATGTTTAAAAATGGAGGTGGTTTGAATTTTAGTTGCCAACAGAGTAGGGAATAGAACAGGAGGACTGGACAGAAATACACTGCTGAGGGCCACAGTGGGTGAGACAGAGAGGTCTGCCACACCATGTGGGTCAGTTCCCTGGCCGGGGATCAAACTCATGCTGCAGTGACTCAGATAGCTTCATAGAGCTGTGCTTTTAACCCTTTGTGCCACCAGGGTGGCCTGAGATTTACTCCTGTTGATGCTGAGGGTTGTAATGTTGCTTTCTGTGTGGGCATTCAGGGAAGAAAGTGGTGATACATAAATTTGTTGAACCTGGTGGTGTCATTTCCTGTTGTTATTCAACCAGAATCAATGACTGAAGAGAGTATGTACATACCACAAGCCTTAAGTTCCTTAACAAATCCTAAGAAATAGACTTTTCTTATTAGTTGACAAGTAGAGTAATATATATTTTTCTGGACAACATTGAAGTGTTTTGCATTTCTCTCTCTCTCTCTTTTTTTCGTAGGAACCTACAAGCAGCAATTGGCGCCTATTATGACTTTGAGAGCCCAAACATCAGTGTGCCCTCTATGTCTTTTGTTGAAGATGTCACCATAGGAGAAGGGGAGTCGATACCTCCTGATACTCAGTTTATAAAAACATGGCGGATCCAAAACTCCGGTATGTGTATAATAATAGGCAATTTTCCCTTTCTAGATTTCTTAATTGTTAAAGAAATAAGAAAATGTTTTATATTATGTGGCCATGGAAGCTCTTTGTTATACATGATGTAGTATTTTCTTGTACTGGCATGATGGATAGCCAAACATCAGTGAAATACCCCTGGCAATAGAATAGAAAGAATAATTTAGGTTCTGATAGCAACAACATTATTCAGTATCCATTTATACTAGGAATTAGACATGTGTATGGTGATAGGGCTGTCTGTACCTGTACCGTTCTACTCCATCATTTTAATTCCGCTCTAATTAATCATCCAGTCATTTCCAGCAGGCTAGAGGAGATGTATCCTTGAATAGAACAAGGTATTTAGAGCTGTAAGCATCTGCTCATTTGAAAGCTCATGGCTTTGCAACCACAAGGATAATTTCTCTCTGAAATTTTGTTGAAGTATTTATTTGAGATGTTAGTACCACTATGAAAAATAGGGAAAGAAATGTGGGCTTTGCTGAAAGAAAAAAATATTGTTCTGATGTACTGCTGATTTTAGGGAAAGTAAAAAATATGTTAACCATGGTTCTTTGATAACAGTATCTGAATGTCTTGTAACTTAATTAGTACAGAGATTTTAGAACAGAAATTCTAATTTTTTAAGTAGCTTTAGTATTACTTGTGTCATGCTGACTGGTGAGGTTGTTTTGACTTCTTTGCTAATGATGACTTACAGGAGAATTCAGAGATGAAAAACAAGGCAAAAAGGAGTACTTAGCTAAAAATGGGTGGGAATAGTATAAAATGGTAGGAAGTCAAATCTGACCCCTGCAAAACTTGGCCTGCCCCTTGATTTGTACAAAATCTGTGTTGGTGGGTCTTGACACTCTTTTCTCCTGCTTTTGGTTAATAACTCCAGCTAAAGATTTGTGGGTGGACCTGTATAGGAAGGCAGTCTGATAGGAGATTCTGGGTGCTCTACAAACTGGTACTAGTCACCTTTTATTGACTGTTTTGTTTTTAGTTCTTTATGCTTCATTTCTTCTATGATGGGGAGTAATTTGCAAGGTAGCCTTTTATATAATAATTAATTTACCAATTTTTTTTTCTTTTTCTGTTTTTCTTTAAGGGCAAAGGTTCAGTGTGTCCCTGGGCAAATGTACAAAATCTGAATTTACCCAGTGTTGTGGACAATTGGGCATATCTGTGGCTTTATAAAATTTTCATTAGCTTTTCCCTTTTGGTTATAAGTGTAGTATGTTGTTAGAGAGGCATCTGGTGATATGGGAAAATAGTCACATTTTCTTTTGTCTTAAAATTCTTGTTCAGAGTTTGATTATCTTTGCCTAATATTTTCCTCACCCACTGTTGCTTTTTTTTTTTTTAAGATTTATTTATTTGTACATACAGAACTGGGGTACAGGCCAGAGGCTCAGGGGCGGTGAGAGGCTTCACCAGAGACAGAGTGGGGAGCAGAACAGGCAGATCGACGAAGTACACTGCTGAGGAGAGCAGTGGGCGGGTCAGGAGAGGTCTGTCACACCATGTGGTCACCTCCGGGGCAGGCGGGAATTGAACTCATGCGGAAGTGGCTTTAGCTTCTCAGTGCTGTGCTTTAACCCGCTGCGCCACCAGGGAGGGCCCCCACTGTTGCTTTTAAAATATTAAAACAATTTTAATTTAGCTTGTAGTCATCATATTTTCTTTTCTGAAGTATTAAAACTTAACTGTTATTGATCAAAGTGGTTCTGAAATCTGTTCATGCATTTTTGGATGATCGACATTTGTTTAGAAAGTATAACTCTGTTTTATTTATTTAAAAAAAACTGGGTCCTCCCTGGCTAAAGTACAGTACTAAGAAGCTAAAGACACTTCAGCATGATTTTGATCCTGGCCTCAGAGGAGATCCACATGGCGCGGCAGACCTCTCCTGACCTGCCTGCTGCACCCCACAGCAGTGTACTTCGTCGATCTGCCTGTTCTGCTCCCCACTCTCTCTCTGGTGAATCCTCTCACTACTCCTGCACCTCTGTCCTGTACCCTAGTTCTATATGCATAAATAAATAAATCTTTTTTAAAAATTGTTTACTTATATGAAAACACAGAAAACAGTCTGACTTAATATGGATGCTATATAATATTTATTTTAAAAGATTTAAATATTTTCTAAAAAGATTTATTTATTTATGTATACAAGAACTGGGGTACAGGCCAGAGGTGCAGAGGGTGAGAGGAGTAGGGAACAGAACAGGTGACAGATTAGGGAACAGAACAGGAGGACTGATCAAAATACACTGTTGAAAGGATCAGTGAGTGAGACACAAGAGGTCTATAATATCGTGTGGTTCACCTCCCTGGCCAGGGATTGAACTCCATGCTATATAGTGACTGCCGGTAGCTTCCAGAGTGCTGCACTTTAACCCTTTGCATCACCAGGGAGGGCCCTTAAATATGGAAAATTGTTAGGAGGCCTGTTGACATGTTTCAAATATTATCTGGCTACTGAATAACCATTTTGTATTTTAGAAAACTTCTTTATAGATCTATTCATTGGCTAAGCAGGTTCTTGTTTTAATGGGGACTTGCGAGAGAGTGGTACAAATGGCTCAAATGTTATTTCAGATCCCCAAAAGGCAGCCTGTCTTTCAGCTTGAGTTATAAAAAATTTGTATTGGTGGGCCTGGTTGCCTTCACCTTCGCCTTTGCCTTCTGCTTTTTCTTAGTAACTCCAGTTTAAAATAGCCTCTGGGCCTTTAGCCCTCTTCTTCCTGTAAAAGAGCATTCATATTCCTGAGCACCTTTTAAAAAGTTGGACAACAGTTACTAGAAATTTTACCTTTCAAGGTACTTTGTACAAATTTTTTTTTTTTTGATTCACAGAATTGTTCAGCCATGTATAAAATGGTTTTTTATCTATCAGTTATGTGCTTTCCTTTTAAGCAAGGAGAAATTGGTTTCATAGCTAAGTAATAGATATATTATTAAAGAGGGAAGGAAAACATGGTTCTTTGGTATCATGCTAATCTGGCCAGTTATTTCTGGAAAGAGAGGAGTAACACAAAAGTTGGCTTTTTCTTCTTTGGTGCTTTTACTTACTCTCATACATAATTTCTTTCCTATGAGACAAGTCCTTGCTGAATTTCATAATTATCTTGCATAGTATCTCTTTGCTGTCAAATACACAATGGATGAGATTGCTAAGGATTGCATGGAGTTGACTCAACAGCTTCTCCAAATAAGATAAGTTTCACATATTGTTTTAAGATTCAATGAATACTGCTTAAATCCTTAGATTTGGACTATAAAAAGCAGAATTAATGCCTTCAATGACATAGATGCAGAATCCCAGAATCCAAATTTTCATCACTATTTAAGTAGTAGAAACTTAATGGAAACCTTAATGGAGTTCAAGTGAAAATTGAAACTGTCCCTCAGAAGACAAGTAGACAATTCTCTTTACCCACACTTACACGTTCTCAGTTGCTGTGGAACATGTTTGTTCATGCTCTGTTGTCCAACTCGGTGGTGAATCTTTGACTGAACATGTTACAACTGATGTTTCTCTGTTTTGGTAAAGTAGTTGTGATTGCCATATGAGTGACTTCAGAGTCATTTTTGTTTTTTTCAACTACATAGAAGTGAGTATAAAACAAGAGCTGGGAAAAGAACATGAGAAAGAATTAGTATTTCCCCCATTTTTCATTTGGCTTCTTGAAATAGTTAATCCCACCTTTTGCTTCATTATGCATGTATAGAAGATAATTCTGCTTCATTCATTTGACAAATTGTATTATTTTCCAGGTGGTTTAACCAGATAAAGGGAAAAATAGTATTGAGGTCAGTGAAGGTATCTGTTTTCATGTAGCATAACTTGAGATGCAGTCTCTAAATTCATAGGAATTAAAAAGAATAGGCGATCATCTTCAGCGAGATTTGTCTTCTTCCGCATTGCTCTTTGGATGTGCCTTACGTACAGTCTCCAGACTTTTTGTAATCACATACACTTAGTAAACGTCATACTTTCTGGAATGGATTTACTATTCTTTCATTTTTGCAAAACTCTTTTTCTCGGAATTGTCATGTGACAGTTCTTGTTTTGTTACTACTAACTTGAAATGTTTTAAATACATAGTCCATGATGACTGGAGAATCACAACCTTAATCTGTGTGTGCTTGTGAGACTTAATTTGGAAAGTCACAAAACAGATTAGTTTTTATTTTCTATATGTATCCACCGTTAAGCTAGTTTGTAACTAAGATCTATTTGGAAGCTCTGTTGTATTATACTTCCAAATGTAGATTTCAGGTATACTTAGCAAACTGCACACCAATCCAAACATGCCAGAATTTCCTTTCCATCCACATCAAGAATCATTGACCTTTTCACAGTTAACTGACCTAATAGAATGGTTATAAGAACTCTATATCTTAACTATTGATAACTCTCAGAAAAAAAGTGATTGGTTCTTCACGTCATAGCAAATTAGTAGCTTAGACTTGGTAGTGAACGACTTTTATATTTTTCCTTCAAAATGTTCCACAAGTACCACATTAGAATATCTAGAATATCTAGAGGACCAAAAGTAACAAGACTATCTCTGGTAATTTAATGTTAGGCATACAGCATTTTACTAGGTAACTCAGTCTCTGGTATGACATAGCATTGCCTCTCCTGCCCAGCTGGGACACCCAACTGTCTTGGCTGCCTGTGGTTTCTCCTCAGGAAAGCCAGATGTTACACCCACCTAGTTTGGTTTTCTTTATTTTCTTAGAAGTTCAAAGTCAGACACATTCTTAGGGTTTCATATAAATAAGTATTGTCTTAAACAGTGTGTGTGTGTGTGTGTGTGTGTGTTAAAAAATAATTGTGGTGAGATAAACCAGAAACAGAAAGAAAAATACTGATGATTTCGCTCATAGCAGGAGTATAATGGACCAGGCGAGAAAATAATAAGAATAATGAACAGCCATATACCAGACATTTTGTGGGGGTGGAGTGGGGAATGGGATAAAAAATGGGGGGAGTGGGATCAAAAATGCACAGGACTATGGTGATGGTACACGGGTGACTCGGTGATGGGAAACCCACGGGGATTACAATTGAGATTTAAAAAAATGTACAAAATGATGTAAAAATAAACTGTTATATTATTTAAAAAAAAGATTAGTAGAAAAGTGAAAATAAAATTATGAATTCAGCCTGATAATAAAAGTTTAATTTTCCTCTTGGATCTTAGTGTTTAAAAAGAATGGCATTTTCTAAGGTGCTTCACATCAGCCGCTGCTGTTCTTGGCCTGAAGGAAATAAATTGTCTCAGGCCAGAGGCCACAGAAAAACAGAATTTGCACATGTGGTTAGTATGTTGTCATAACCTTTCCAAAGCACTTGCCCATAGTATTAAGAGGGCACATTGGTGGCAGTTTTTTAAAAAGAAGGTATGATGAAAAACATAGTGGCCATTGCTTCACTTGCTACTCCTTAAGTCCCAGGTTCCACAGAGGGGTCTCTTCACAGTGAGGCTAAGATTTTAGCAGTACAATTCTGGTTGCTTTTCTCTCTGGTTCCCTTTTCAGTTGTAAACTATCAGGTACGTAGTTTACTGCCTGGCACCAAGATATCTTAGAGTACTATTGGGAGCTAAATGTTAAGCATACCATATCTAGAGAATCCTGCCGTGTCCTGATTTATTTCATTATGAATGTCTATATATCCCTCCTACCCTCAAAAGATACGTACATGAAGTTTCTGTCTACAGTAAAAAGAAATATATTGGATAGACTATACAGGAAAGATGACATCTAATCACTATATGGTGGCTACCTATGATTGGCTAGAATAAAGATTTCTCATTTTGAATTAGTTTACATGAAAATAGATACACAAGAATAGTAGTTACCAAACAAGATATTTGACTTTCTGAGGAAAGACTATTCCTGCTAAGGCCATTACTCCATTACCTTATCCTTTCTACAATCACATCTTGTTTAGACCACAGTGTGTTGATAATCTTCAGTGGAGCTGACCCCACTGTCCATATTTTCCCACACTACTTGAACCTGAAAACAGAAACTTCACTTGCATGTTTATTTTGCTGAGTGTTTTTTTTTTTTCCTTTTTTTTAACCGCATACAAGAGGTAGGGGTAGTGAGCAGATTCACCAGAGACAAGAGTGCAGATCCACTGAAATACACTGCTGAGGAGAGCAGCTGGTGAGACAAGAAGGGTCTGCGGGTTTGAACTTGTGCCACAGTGACTGGTGCTAAGCTTGACGGTGCTGTCTTTAACCCCTGCACCACCAGAGAGACCCCCTGATTTTGCTGAGTCTTTTGAGCCTCTCAGGTCCTCAAGAATCTTTCAGGACTCCAGAAAAAAGGTCATGATTAAAAAAAAGGCAGTTTTTTTTTTTTTTGAAAAAGTAGTTTTTTAATGAAAATAATTTAAAAAAATATGTATTATGTATTATGTGTTTCTTCCTTTTGCCACAATAGAAAAACTGGAGACAATTAATATATTTTTACTTCGACTATCAGTTTTAAAAGTTCAAGTGAAAATGGGCATGTGTTACCCTCTAGTAGAAAACAGAGCCCTCCAAAGAAGTAGGCCTGAGCTTCATCTCCATGACTCTGCACATATCACTCCTACGTTCTGTAGGCTCCTGTGATGTGTGGTTTTCTCTGGGGTCATCCGGAACACTACTTCTTGAGGAATTGATTTGCCTTTGCTTGTATTGCCTTCTTTTAGGGAGAAAGACTATTGGTAGAAGTTGTTTCTGATAATTCCTTGTAGTCAAGTGTGTGAGATTTTTAGATAGCTCAAGGCTATGTGGGTAGTTTACCTGTGTATGAGAAACAAAGATGCCTCTTCTCCAGTTCTGTAATGACCTGCACCCAGCATAGGACCACAAATTGCCTAACATTTTTTTCTTTTGCTTGAACTCAGGGGCAGAGGCCTGGCCTCCAGGGGTTTGTCTTAAGTATGTCGGGGGAGACCAGTTTGGACATGTGAACATGGTGATGGTGAGATCGCTAGAACCCCAAGAGATTGCAGATGTCAGCGTCCAGATGTGCAGCCCCAGCAGAGCAGGAATGTATCAGGGACAGTGGCGGATGTGCACAGCTACAGGACTCTACTATGGAGGTGAGTATGTCCTTGTGCAGCCCAGGGTGCAGGAATTAAGGTAACGTGTAGAGCACCCCCAGATTTGCTCACAGAACCTGTCAAATAACACAATAGGGGTGTGGCTTCTTTTAAATAGTCACGCTATGCAAATAAATGATTTGAATTTAATGGCCTCCTAATTGATTCAGTCTAGTACACTCCCTTTACACTAGGAATTTAGTTAAAATTTAGTGAAGTGTATGAGTTCTACCTTACATTCTAAACAATGATTTTGAAGTGCTGCCGCTTTTATTATCCAGTAGGTACTGTAAGAATACTGGAGGCAGTTGTTGTTCTCATAATCTTTATGCTTAGATCAAAAAAGGTTAATACCTAAAATATGCATACTTTCCCAACTTGTCAAATCGCTGTCCTTTTCTTTCTTGCCAAATTTTTTGAGCAGAGTGATCTGTACTCATTGTCTCTTCTCATTTTCCATTTTTTCTTCAACCTAATCTTTTACCTACTCCAGTGAAAGTTTATCAGTGACTACTCAGTTTCCAAATCCAGTGGACACTTGACAGGCTTCGTACTGCCTGGCCTTCTATCACTTGGTACCATATTCCCAGTGTTTTGAAATGTCTGCTTTCCTAGGTTCATATAACACTTCTCTTGTTTCTCCTCTTCCTCTCCTCCTCCTCTGGGTATTCTTCCTCTGTCTAGCCACATGTTTGCTACAGGAATATCAAGTTCCACTCTGTGTCCCATTCACAGTCAGTGACTTCATCCACCCACCCACATGGCTTCAGTTGTCACCAGTATGATCACACGATGACTCTCAAATTCATATCTGTGGCTCTTCTTTTGGGGGCTCTACACCTGTGTTTTAACTTTTTGTAGTCAGAATGCATGAATAGTCTGTAGATTTCTGAATTTTGATCTCCCAGACAAAGCTTACATTTTTCTTATGAGTACTTCACTGGCTCCACTGAGATGATTAGGCCAGAAACCTTGTTATCATCTTTGCTCTTTTTTTGTTGTTTTTTAAAAGATATATTTATGCATATAGAATTGGCGTACAGGCCAGAGGTGTAGGGACAGTGAGAGGATTCACTAGAGACCGAGTGGGGAGCAGAACAGGCAGATTGACGAAGTACATTGCTAAGGCAGGCAGCAGCGGTCAGGAGAGGGCTGCACCATGTGATCACCTCCAGGGTGGGGATTAAACTCGCACTGAAGTGGCTGCTGCTTGCTTGCAGTGCTGTACTTTTAACCTGTTGTGCCATCAGGGAGGAACCCTATTTTATCATTCTTAATCAGAAATAAATTCTTACTCTATTATATTCCATCTCTTAGAGATTTAAAAATAAATTAATAGTTCTGCTCTCTGAGCACTTTTAACTGGACTCATAGCCAGTGGGACTTTGGAGTTATTTCAAGGGGTCTTGGAATTAATGTCTCTCTCTCTCATATATATATATGCCAAAATTTTTAATACTAGAAAGGGTATCTTACATTAGTGCTTATGTGATACTATTTTTTGCCTAAAATTGTTACACTTAACTGCAATGAAGCCAAACTCCTTAGCACAGACTTAATGCTCTTCATGATCCCACCTGGCCTCCTTTTCACTCACCTCCTGTTGCCCTAGACTTGGTTCCGGAAGACACCAAATGCCACCACATGCTTTCACTTCTTTCATGTCCTCGCTTTTGTTCCCATTGCCTGAAATATCTCTTTCCAGCTAGCTCCTGAATGAAACTGGATTCACATGAAGTCATTTGTCCTTCCCCTCCCCCTTTACTTTCTCTCCCCAGTCCCCCAAGGAAATTCTTCTGTTCCTTTTTCATTCATATTATGCATATGCTTGTTGTTAAACTCAGTTGTTTGCTTATCCTTTTCTCTTACTAGACTGAACTGTTTATTGAATAACAAATGAATGTACACCCATATCAGAACACTGAGATTCTGGAGTTTATTTTCAGACCACTTCTCCTAAGAATGTTCTTTCTTGCATTCCCATTGCATTATCTCTTCTCCCTCCTTTGCCTGTCTCTAGCACTTTTTTTTAACCCAGTTTATTTGACTTTATTTCATACTGTCTTTAAAACTTAAGGTGGTACAGTTATCATAGTATCTTTGTACCTTTTCAAAAAGTTGAGTCAATGCAGATCAGAGAGTGACTAATAGGTATTTTTTAATGAATGTGAGCATTTTTATGGGAGGAGGAAAACAACATAAATGACTTTAAAAATCCTTTTGATACAAAGACACTGTATTTTCCAGTGTTTGAGAGCTATAGTCATGTTTACAAAGGCTTCACAAAACAAAGTTTATTTTCAGTGTTCAATTAAAAATATCACTACGTGGGACATTAAATTTTTTTTACATGTAATATTCCTCTCCATTGCTAGAGGTAGGTGGAGTAAATGTTCCAGCTATGGAGGCATTAAAGAATTTAAAGTCTTTGGTTTTATACTCTGTAAATTGTTTCTCAGGACTTTGAAATCTAATCCCTTCAAGGGATCTTAATAATTCATCTAATTCTATGGTTTCTAAGCATTTTTCTTAGTAAGTAGAATGCTTTCCATGAGAAAGCATAATGAATGACCCTTCCAAGAAAGGGAAGAGATAAAAATGAAACTGTTTTTGTTGCTTCTAGAGCTTACTTGGCCTGTATTTGCCTGCTCTCTGAGAGACTGTGAACTGTAGTTTGCAGATCCCTCATTTGCTCTAGCAAAGAATGCAGTTCTGTTTTACAAACTACTGTATTTCACTGAATGTTGATTATAAAACATACCCTAACAGATAAATAAAGCAATTTAGTGTTCATATCTACATGTCAGACACACAAACACATATGTGTGTATACATACACAGTGGAGTATTATTACAAGCAAAACAAGGGAAACCAGCCATTTGTGATAACTTGGATGGACCTTGAGGGCTTTATGCTAAATGAGATGAGTTAGAGGAAAACAAACACTATATGATATTACTTGTATGTGGATTCTTAAAAAGAAAGAAAAGAAAACTTGGAAAAAGAGATCAGATTTTGTTGTTACCAGAGGCAGAATGAGGGGAGGGTGATTTGGAGAACAAAATTAGTAATAAGTACTTGGGATCTGATGTACAGCATGTTGCCATAGCTGACACTGCTGTGTGATGTATAGGAAAATTGTTAACAAGGTAAATCCTAAAATTTCTTATTAACAGAAGAAAATTTTTTCTTCTGTTTTTTTTTGTCTTGTCTTTTGATATCAATATGAGGTGACGGATCCTAACTAAATTTATTGTAATCTCCGCACAATATATGTTGTCAAAATATTATGCTCTGCAGTGATATATGTCAATTATACTCAATACTAGAGAGAAAACACATCTTATAGCACATCTTAACGTCATGAAGTGAACATATACATAAAACCACACTATGAACATGTGGGGAAAAAATTAATATCCACATTGACCATGCTTATTCTTTGCATTTTTCTGCTCATTTTGAGCTTGGTAGCTCCTGCAGTGTAGTGGAGTGGTGTTAGCAGTGTAGAACTAGGATACATTGGCCCAAAGTTAGAAAAATTAGCTACTTCTCTCTTCTTCATCTTTCTGTTTTAACAAAGCTTGTGTTTTGGTTTTGGTGAGGTGGGTGCTTCTATAGAGAAAATCAGTCCTTTCTTTTATAATAACACTTAATATTGTTTTAATTTATTTCTCTTCCCTAAAATAATTTTTGCTATAGAATTGACCCTTGAACCAACTTATAAGGTTTGGGATGCCAACAGATCCTGCCACTGTCAAAAAGCTGACATGCATCTGCAAATTCATGCCACATCACTGATTGATATGCATCTGCAAATTCAGTGGGTCTGCATTGGTTCATTGACTTGATTGAGTACTATTATTGGCAGATTTACTTTGAAACCCTAGTTTTTTATCTTCTTTTTCCTGACTTAGACTTCTTAGACCTTAAACTGACCCGTTGCCTAGTATCTATAGTATGTCAGGCGTTGTATTGGACTTTTTGCACTATAAATTACTTTATGAAGGAATGTTAGCTACATTTTATGGTTAAGGAACCTGCCAGAGAGAATTAGTATTTATCTAAGGTTTAGAAAAAGTTGTTATCCATAAGTTATAGTTAGTTGTTAACAAAAGTAGTTTTACAGTCATTGTCATTAATTTGACACTTCACTACTGAATGGAGTTTACAAGGAAACTTTTGTTTCTAGGTTATTGGTTCTTGCTAGGGTCTAATGAGGGTGGGCTACGTGGTCCCCAAATCCTCTCCATTTCTAGAGTATAAGAATGGGGGGGTTGACATTGTTGGGGTGACTCCTAGATAGATGTGTAAAGGTCATTGTTTCTGAGGAGTTTTTGTCTGCCACTAGAGACAAGTTTCCTAAAATAAACTAAATTCTTAAGATGTGATACACTGCATAAGTGTGGTCCCTATGTTGGCCTTGATTCCAACATTACATGCCTTCTTTTCCCCTGGTAGAGTGCACTCTTAACAGAATTCCACAGAAATTCTGAACCCCTGAACTGGGATAGCTCCTTCTCAGTCCTTATTGTGCAAAAATGAAGGAGTCCTTATTATGCATAAAAGTAAGATCAAGTGATATTCAGGTTATCACATGTTGCTGAGTGTTTTTCCCACTTAAAATAGCTCTTGTTAAATTACTTCACATGAGTCCCTAAAGACATTCACATAGTATAGATTAAATACATCTACATTATTCATTTGGTTTCTCAGAGGTTAGAAGTGGAACTTCCCTTATTATCCCAAACCACTGATGTCCAGTAAGTTAGGAAACATATTGGGTGCTTATCAATTACATTATCTCTAAAATCTTTCTACGTTTTCCAGCTGCTCTATTTTGCTGAATGTTCTTCCTAGCCTGGAAGTGTGGGATTGATTGTCCCTTCTCATTCTTCTGTGTTCTAACAGAAACTCTGATTTTCTGTTAGATTCCTCTTCCTCTAGCTTTTACACAGGTGTCTTCTATTTGGTTGCTGTTATTCTTGGCATTTCAACC